TAATATTTAGTCTAACTTGGATGAGTGGCGCCTTCAGCCTTATTGGTGCATAAAAATAGGAAGTATTTTTCCGATTTACTATATTTATATTATAAATAAATTGTACATATATATCATATATATATTCTTAAGGATTATTAAAGCATACTGACTTATCAAATCAAATAATATTGTTCCATTTTCGTCTATCTTCATGCTTTGCCATCTCTTAGTAAACGATGACTACACCTGTGTGATATTTCAAATATAATTTTATTTAAAAAATAAAACTGAATGGCATGGCATTAAAAATTCAGAATAAATTTATTCATATTTGGTCTATTAAAATAGTTGCTTGACTATTAACCAAATTTGCACACAAAATAAAACTCTTAGTTATGGCAATTTACGGCGTGAAACTGTCACTTAAAATTTAATCGATGTTAATTGCTTAAAATTCACAAGCCATCGTCTGTTATTAATAAAAAAATTTTATTATTTTTTTTTTCAATATAATTATTAGCACAAATTGTTAACATTTTTACTTTTATGCATAATTACGAACAAATTAGAGAAAATAGTGTTGTGACTTCCATCGTTGAATATCGACTTTGTAGTTTTAGTATCAGATAATGATAATAGTACTCAAATATTTATATATAGTATATACCTATAGTTTTCATATATATTATAATGAAGTTATTCAGTACGATAAACACTAACGTTTAAAAGTAATTATAATAAAATACGATATTAATAAATTATTTATTAAGCTATAATATAGTATATATTTGATTATTTGGATAGTCCAAGTTTAGAATCTTAAATAATGCTTACAGAATAAAACGAATGCATTCAAATGTAATATAATATAAGCCTCCATACCTGAATCAGTATCTAATTGAACAGACAGTTGTGTACCAGGATGTAGCAAGTATTGTAACATCAAGTATAGGTATAAGAGAGAGAGTATTGGTTTCATATCAAGTTAATCCCGACCTATCAAGGTAATGTGTATGAATTGAACCACCTCCAAGAGCTAAGAACTCAAAAGTATACTAGAACTCTATATTAAGTAAGCTTAAAAACAAAAAAAAATGTTATTCTAAAAAAAAAATATTATTCTAAAGAAATAATTTACAAAATTCGGCTCAATATTTATTATACAATCAAATACAAATTTAATTTTATTAAAAAAAGTCCTACATTTTTAACAGAAATCAATTATATGTTACTGGGTATACAAAACTGTGGTTCGTATAAGTCCAGAACCTCGTTGTAAAATGCAACTCCACATCAGATGAAAGTATTGATACAAACAGCATACTGTACTAATCACCTCAAAATGTATGCGTATAATTATATACAACTTTGAGTTTTAACCACATCCACCATGCTATTCTCTTTAAACGGACTAAACTCGATTGGTCAGGACAGCTCCAGCTGTGGGCCCTGACCTCTGTGGTACCAGATTTACACCTCCGTTCGGGGCCAAATAAAGCTCGCGCACCTCAATTTAGACCCCAAATGATATTATGTGGCGTCTAATGTATTCTAGTCGCCTCTTACAACAAGCGTGTCTTACCTTGGGAATATTCTTACTCCTTTGCCGCGAAGATATGAAAATAAGACAACAACAAAATGAAAACACCACTTTTATGACAGTCTACACATGATAGCGTGTAGGCACGTGACTAAGAAGAGGAACTTGAGGAGTTAGTTGTTAAATAACTTTTTTTTCTTAAATTACTGACATTAGCTGAAAGAAACAACACCATATTCACATAAATGTATATATAGACAGTAACAACTACAATAATACCGCTGGCTAGAAAGCATTTTTTGAACTTTTCTATATTTCTCAGAACAAAATTGATGAACTTTTCCATGTTATCGATATCTTACGATTATTCTGATTAAACATAATAACTAGGTACCCACCAAGTACTAAAAACATATTGACTTGGATATACAAGTAACATTTTCAAAATATACACAGAACTGTAAAAGACATCACTAAGAAAGTTAGAGATTATAATTCCAAAATAATAAAATAATCTGTCGCTTCTTATGTTCTACCCCCTGATATTGGAGTGTGATTGCAGCCAGAAGTCTTTCACACTCTGACGGCTGAGTTGTTCTCAACACGTGGTTTTAGAGGGTTCAAATCTTAGAGTGTGGCTTTCGATGGTTTCTACACCTACCGCAAAAAATAAAATATATAAATAGTCGTTCACACAAGACATGAAATTTATCAAAGATGTTTTTACTTGACTTTGCATATTTGCGAATTTATAAGAAAAGTTGGATTAAAGTTAAAGCAGAGATGTTCAAAAAATTTAATGAGAAATATTTGTTATAATACTATTACATGTACCATTATTGGATTAAAAAATTAAATTGTACTAATCACAAAAAAATGTGTGCGTTTAATAATATATATATATATATATAGTGTCCACATGATATTATTGAATTTGATGTTTTTTTTTCTTCTTAAATTATTTACTTTGATTTATTTTCTGTTGCAAATTGCCTAGAATATTTCTGAATAGTCAACAAGACAGGAAATCTGTGCACATGATGGAGATCATCCAAATTAAAAGGGAAAAAAATTAAAATCTTCGAAAAAAAACTAAAAACTCAAATTAACGAGTAGCAACGAAGCGTTTCAATGCTGAAATAAATCAGAATGTTGCTGACATTCGGGTGTCGCCCGTACCCATAGATCTCTCATGCCTTCCCGGTCTGTTATTTAATTTAACTTTCAATTTCTGCGGCATTTAGCATTTTATAGTCTGCCTTCAGCGAATTTCTATATATGTGTGTGCTGTGTACAACGAAAATATTTAATACCAATGACGAAATAAAAAAAAAGAAACAGCGTTATTTACTGACAAATTGTTTCGAATAATTGAAATATTTTGGCGGCTACAAAGAACATAAAATATAAAATAAATAAATTCTCAAACAACGCGTACAAATGAAAGACGATTGAATTAAAATTCCTTCCAAATAATTAAAATTTAATTTAGGGAACAGAATGTTCAAATATTACAATTTTTAGTTTTGCATAAAAGAAGATGAAATTATCTCTAAACTTGTCATACTTTGAAACCAGAAGTTTGTAGTATTTTACCAAAGCAAAGAATATCATATGATATTACAATGACCTCTAAAAAAATCGTTCATGTCTTAAAAATTTTTTTTTTAAATTTATATTCATTACTTTTATTTATTTATCAAATTACCTATAAAAAACTGGAAGAGAATTTTATAAATATTAATTGGTTGTTACGGATATTAATAAATTATATTGTGAATTTAACCATATGACCTCAAACCACAAAGGAGCTCCCAATACATAATAGGCAGTATCAATAAAAAATAGAAACAAAAAAACTGTAGCTGTGTTCATTGTTTAACCAACAATCAACACGCCCACTTACGAAATTCATACAAAACAGACCAAGTAACGAACTTTTCAAGGCAGTGCAGCGTAATTGTGTCATTACCTATACCACGTTATGCTGGCAAGGCACTGTACTTCCTTTCCGCCGTTGCCGGTGGGTAATGCTCATGAAAGGCTTACCCATGCTTACCATGCCAAATGAGCCCAATCGTTGTGGACGTGTAATTAATACGTAGAAAAGGCAATTGTTTACACAAATTAAATTACAAACTAATTACACACTTGTCAATTTATTATTGCTTCGAAATATGGTAATGAATACTTGCAGTTAAGGACATAAACATCATCAATACAATGGATAGGTTTCGATAGTGTCATGCGGTATATGAAATTATTCGATTTTCATATCATTTGAAAGTTTAAAAAAATAACAAAAACGTTATAAAAATTAAAACTGTAAAGACCGACTACTGATTATAAATATCCACTAAATGTATTATGTTAAAGCACACTCTTCGTATGTGGATATAACCTTTCAAAAATGTTAATGCTGCTTAAAAAATACTTAATATTTTTTTAGATAAATCAATACTATGGATTTAGAAATATTACATTGAACTAGCAGCCTTGTGCACCAAAGCTCACCAGGGCACAAATATTTATACTTTCTGATACCAGTGTTAGTAAGCAAGACCTAAAGAAATACCTTAGCGGTAGCAGTTCGAAACATCAACGCAAGTACAGCACCCTTTGAGAGGGATAAAAATAGAAGATAGAATTATAGACAAGCATAAATGTACATAAATTAGAAATCGAAGTCTAGAATCACAAATAAAAATGGATTGTGTATGCACAACGAAAATTATCTCATATATCTCATAGTTGTCTGTTGTGATACTCCTGTTCGTACTAGCTTTAAAGATAGAACTTCTAAACTCCAAACGTACGAACAGCGTCCTTTAAGAAGACGACGAGCTTTAGAGAGTTATATATGATTATGAAGAATGTAACCTCGAGTATAAGAATTAGAAAGTGAAGTCGATAAGAGCAAATGAAAATGAATTGGGTATGCACAGTGGAAACCATCTCATATACCATTGTAATGTAACTGTTCTTATCATATTTGAGGGCAAAAGTTCTAAGAACCCTCCCTCCAAGCCCTCCAAGTGTTTACTACGATATCTACTTTTTCCTAAATACATGTATTCATATCTACCTCCAAGAATACAAAATATCCTGACAAAAATTACGTAAATGCAATACTGTTGTGATATCTCATTGAGGCATTGATACCTAATTGTAAGAATTTTAATATTATCTGGCCATCTGTAATACGATTATACCATTTTAAATGGCTTATGAAATTAAAGCTCGAGTTTGAAAATGAAGGTGAGTATATACATACATGTTAATCGCCAGGTTTTTAAAAAAAGTCACTCTCTCCATCTTGCAATTCAGACTGATATTTGAATTAAACTGTAAAGTGACAGTTCCCCAGTCATTTTATAAAAACATTTACATAATTTTTTTAAGATATGCAAGTAACTTAACAATAGTTCAACTAATCAGAAACACATTAATATTAATTTATATTTGATTTCTATTGCTTATAATATTTATTAATCTAATATTTTATTTAAAAAATCTATTTACAGCATTTTTATACAAAAATCACATATAATAATCAGGTGGTGGAAAATTATCTGGACGTCTATTGTTATTCGAACCAGGAGGTGGAAATAAGTCGGGATTTGGATTGTTATTCGAACCAGGCGGTACAAATAAGTCAGGATTTGGATTTTGGTTAGGATTTGTGTTGGGATTAGGAGGAAATGGCCTTACATCTGGAACAACAGGGTTAACTGGATCGAAACGTGGACCTTGTACTGGACGGAAAGGCAATGGCATAATACTACCAGGACCCCCACGTGCAAGCGGATCCAAATCTCCCCGTCCAACCCCTAGCGGATTAAATGGGTAACGCGAACCGACATTTCTTTTAAATAAAAAATTATTAATTAATTAAACAGTTAAATACTTAATCAAAATCAAAAAATATATTATAGTCAATCATTTTTTTTGCAAACACAGTAACAGAGCACTGTTACTAACATACTAACAGTACAAACCGGCAATAACAACAATACATTTACCCGACATCATGAATACGTCTATCTTTTTTAAAAAGCATTACCTTAAAATTGGGGGATTATGAACTGGTTGAATACTTCTTCTATCAGTAGTATTGATTTGAGAATTGTTAGGTTGACTATTATTTGTACTGGTTGGTGTTTCATTTGTTTGTTGAGATGTAGTATTCTTATTAGGAGGTTTGAATACCTTGAAATTAAAATAATGAACATGCAACAAATTACTTTTGTAACTATTTTTAAACTTACTGGATCAATTAATTCCTTCTCATAGCGATTGCATATAAAAGTTGCCGTTGGAATTAATTCATTTATATTGATTAATTTAATATCATTTACTACTGTGTTTGGTTCTAACATTATATTAGAAACCACTTTCGACTGAGCAACAACTAAATTTATTATTAGACTCTCCTCAGATATGACACCCAATAGTACATATAACTTATTATGTACTAAATATCTCAAAGCATATTTAGTCTCATCTTGATTCCAATCATTCGGTAATGTTTCAGAACCAACTTCTTCATTAGAAAACGACATCTATTAAAATCAAAACTTTAACAATTATACATTATTTCTTATGAACTAAAATTAAAATTCCTTACTTTATCTCCATTGCCAAGACATCGGAAATCAAAGTTTTTTGTTAATAAAAAATGAGCCTGAAATAAAAAAAATTAAATATTTGCTAATTTTATTTTCTAAAAAACCTGATTTAAAAATATCAACTATATTTTATAACTAATAATTATAATTAAATTTACAAAAACAAATATGTATAAATTTTATACAAAGATAGTTGTACTAAAAGAATTGTAACACCGTTCATGCTAATCAAAGAAGATAATCCTGATCTTGAGCTCAAAAGCCTTAAAAAATTGGAAATATTAAATAAAGGTTATTAAATTCATGATAATCGGAAGCAATTTCACAATTTTAAATTCCAAATGCTTAGATATAAATATGGAGAAATCATTGAAATGACATCAAAATAATTTAAGTGCCTTTATGTCGCACACAACAACAAATGAACTCTGCAGGAATGGACAAATATGTTTACTATTTCATAGAATACTAATCTGGAGTAGTTAAGATGATGTAGTTCTGTTACATATCAGGTTATTTTTCTTATGCATGATCACATATATAGTACTTTTGATTTCTCTTTAAGTCCAGTTTAAACAAAAAGTGGTGCACATAAATTAATAATAATACTTACCAGTGCTATAAGTACATCTCCTTTTTTGTTAACTTTACCGACTATGCTATTATAAAATAAATTCCAGCCATAAAAATAGCTGTCATTAGTTTGATTGGAGATTGATTCAGCCATTTCTTTCCCTTTTATATTTATTGGAATATTTCTATTGATTTGATCCTGTATGAATATCTTGACAATATACTGGAAATATAATTCTAAACAGTCATTTTGAATTTTGTAATATGAAATTACAAAAAAAAAAATGTTGCATAGTTTAGTTTTAATTTGACATATAACAATAATTGCCTTTATATATAAAAATTTAATTGTAAATTTCGGTACACAAAATTTATGGTTTAGTAAAGCTAAATTTGATTAAATTAGGTACAATTTTGGACATTGCAAACGTACTAATCACAAATTTGTAGACCAAAAAAATATCTATATCTTTCATATTTTTAAAAAGAATGATCTTAAAAATCAGTAACCATTTTGAAGCTAAGTGCACTATGTCTGTATTCTGCCTTATCGACTAGTGCAAGTGACCACTACTAATGTCAAAATAGTATATGTCAAAATACTTGTCATTCAAATATACTTGTTTATAATTGATGAAATTTCCAAATTTATATTAACTTATTGCATATTAAACCCATTTCGATGTTTATATATATTTAAGTTTTTTAAATTTTAACAGAAATTTATTTGAAATAAATATGACAAGTTACTTTGTTAATTAAGGACGTGTGCGAGTTAGGCTAAGTTGATGCTAAACCAAATGGGAGATTTTTTGGGATTTTTTGCACTGCACACATTTGGCCATTTATCAACACGTATCGACACATCACTACATTATCGGCACAGCTTAGAATTTCGCTCATTTAGAACGCAACTTAGCCTAACTCGCACACGACCTAAATAAAAATCACGTTCAACCACCGACATAAATTTATGAAAAACGGTTCCTTTTTAAACAGAAATTTATTTAAACAAATAAAACTTTCAAATTCATATATTTCTAATATATTTATTTATAAATTAAGTGTATACAAATTAATAATTTTAGTTACACATATATATACATTTAATACAATTTATATAATTAAATTAATTTAATTAAAGATTGAATTAATGATTGAAACTAAATGCCTTGGAAAATATTTCTTTTTTTAAATCGAGCCACATTAAGACGTGGTTTCTGTTTGTTTTTTAAATTTTTTGTTTTATATATTTTTCTTACATATTGATGATATAAAGCTTTTGAGTCGTTATACTTGGTTGAAAGGCAATTCCAAAGACGCATTATACGTTCCTCATCTTTTGCTATATATTGAACATTGAGCTCCAAATCATCTCCGTGTGAGTAACCGCTTATGTTAGCCATATTCGAGCCGGGAAATTTTTCAAAGTTCACATTACGAAATTTCTCTGCACAAAATGTAGACAAGTTATATGTATTGTAAGATTTACATTTATCAGTCAGTTCTTCGAGTGATAAGGTTTCTGTTACACCATTATCCTCACACTCTTTATTATCATTACAACTTACATTATTCACACCTTCAGCACTATTTTCCGCCTCCATATCTGTATTTGGTAGATTCTTTTTCTTTAATTTTTTAACTTTCTGCTCAGTAGCTAAGGTATTTACCTCAGTTTCAACAGTTGAAATTATATTATTACCATCATCATTCATATCTCCTTTTTTTGATTTTTGCTTCTTTTTCTTTTTAGTTTCTTCGCTGTTATTTTTTAATTTTAATATATTACTTTCTTCATTTTCTAAAGAAACAATTTTATTTAGAATTATATCTTCTTTTATATCTACTTGGTTTGTTTCTTTTAAATCAGACAAGTTTTGATTTTTACCTTTTTTCGATTTCTTTTTCTTGCGCATTGTATTATCTTCTATTGATATTTCTTCACTTCTAAACTCTTCGTTTTCCAAATTCACTTCAGTGTCATCAACTTCTTGTTTTTTTGATTTTTTCTTCTTCTTACGTGCTTTTCCTTCTGTACTTTCTATTTCTTCATCAATATGTTGTTCCTGTTCCGTTATTAAAGTTTTTTTCGTTTCTTCCACATAACGTTCAGCAAGTAAACCATCTTCAGTTTTCCTCTTTTTTTTCTTGGATACAGCCTCATTTTCTTCTGATTCATCCTGCAGTTTCTTCTTCTTACTTTTCTTTTTACTGCTCGACATCTCCATATTTTCAATGGTTTCATTCGTTTCTACTGTCTCTGAGCGTTCCTTAAATTTTACTTTACTTTCCTCGCCTTCTTTATCAGTCGATGAACTGCCATCTTCATTGTTAATATTAACTTCGGCTTGCCTTTTTCTAGCATCCATTTTCTGTTTAAAATAATCACTAACAGATAATCCTGTAGATATAATCAATGGATTCTCAAAAACCTCTTGTTTTTCTTTTTTAAATTTATTTTCATTCGCACCAAGCTGTTCATTTATATCTGCCTTTGGTATTTCTTCACTTTCGTTACCTTTCTTACCAAATATATTTGCCAAATCCTTTTCACTATACTGTGTTAAATCTTTGCCTCTCGTAAATTTTTTATAATGAACTCGTGCTCTACTTTTTTTGGAACGCTCCTCTAACGATTGACCACTAAGTTTTTCTTTTAGTTTTTTCTTTTCTTTTTGTTTTTCAGTTGCTTCCGTTGAAAAACCAAATCCAACACACCGCTCTTCTTCGGATGCACTCTCATTTTGTTCATTATTATTCTCAACGTCATCAGTATTTAGTGATTTTAAAAAACCATTGAAGTCTTCCTCATGTTGTGTCCACTGATCGTCGCGATTTTCATAGCCTAAGCCTGAAGCATCATTTTTAAATTGAACACGTACAAAATCCTTTGAACCATCTTCTTGCGCGCCAAGGCCTTTCTCTTTTGACCAACCCATCTTTTGTAACATTTTTGTACCAAAACGTGAGTCATCTAAATTAAATGATATTAATACAATATATTAAAAATTTAGAACTGAATATAAAGATGAACAAGTTACGAAAAACAACTTACCATCGTAAAGCGCTTTACCGCGCGGAGTTAATGTGTACTTCTTTCGAAAACGTCTATCCGCCAACATTGACATTTTGATTTATTTGTAAATATTAAATAAACTTATGTTTTTATAACTTCCAACAAAAAAAATTAAATGGATTTATAAAAAATTAAACTTAAAATTAAATAAACTAAACAAATCCGCAATATCAATAGCACGTGCAGACACTCAGCAACAACAACAGGGTTGCACTGCTACATATTTTAATAGAGTTGCCATTTGTTATAAAAGTAAAAGTTATGCACTACAAAGCAGAAGGTATTTTATGTGCCACAAAGTATATGCGGTAGATACGTGTAAAAATTATATTTTAAAATAAACAAAGTATGTATAAATATGAAAATTATTAAAAATGAGAAATTAAAACGAATTTTTATTATTATTGGGCTTAATAATAATAGTCGTTAATTTAACTGCACACTTTTACACTGAAGATGGTCTACGAAGTAGACCGAAATATTTATAACAAATAATTTCTTATAAAAATTAATATACAATTAATTATATAAATTAATAAACAATTTTTATTTAAAAATCATTTTTAATTTTTATGTGTTAAATTAACGACCTAAGCCCAGTAATAATAAAAAAACGTATTGAATATTGATTGTAATATTAATTTATGGAAAATTCGCTGTAAATAGTTTACAAACACAAATGTATTAAAATGCCCCATAGGAAATTATTAATATATAGATTTTGTCCACTTATTATTTATTGAAAAGAAAACTCTATGTAGATGTTGAATACAACAACATACTGATATTTCTGCTCTATATTTCTTTTTGTTGCAATTCCGTTTTCTCAGGTATACCGATTTGACAATATATTTTAGTAGAGCCAGGGAGTTTTTCCATCACACTATATATCAATATAGGTTTCTCATCAAGATGTACAGGTTTAAAGTTGTGAGCTTATAACATTGAATACAGCAACAAAAACTACACTTATCGTTTAGCCCCAAGCAACATACGTAATATATAAATTGATTACGCTTAGCGACAAAACTAGTCTTTTTTATTGTTTGTTTTCTTGATTTAAACTGTTTATATAAATTTGGGTCTGCTGAGCTTAAATTTGCAACTCGTTTTTCTCCTAAACATTTAGGTCTGTGACAATAATAGACTAAAGCTCAAAAGTCAAAATTTTAAAGAGTTAATAAAACATGTTGTGTTTAACAAACGCAAATTTCGTTCTGAAAATCGAAAATCATACTGTTTTTAGTTTCAGAAACAAAACATTCTTTAAACCAATTCTTTAATAAATTTTTGTTACTCAATCCTACCTATATATAATCTATTTAACAGGACACTATTTAATATTCTTGCATTCCTAGACTCGGAATTAGAATAATAGTTTGTTTTAGGGAAGCTTTAAAAACATTCCGGCTCTAATTGCCATTTTTTTGTTTTGTTATAAATATCATATTTTTTTAAAAGTCTTAACGTCTCAACGTCTTTTCTTTAAATGACAGATTGTTTTTGTATGACTTGCTGATTCTTCTCATTCTCACATCTCGTTATCATATTTTTTTATATTTTGTTTTTTTACCACTAAACGGTCTAATATTCTCTTTAAGATCGAGTTTCGATTGTATGATGTCTTTCTGGAACTAATGTTAGTTTCAGAAATTACAGACTGTCAAATATAATTCATATTTTAAAAAAAAAAGTTTTAATAATGCATGTTGTCTTTCTGAAATTAAGCTTAGATACTTTTTTGTAATATGTAGTACTGATTTATGCATAGATCCAACAAAAACATTTACAAAAAAGTTGTTGGATTTTGGTTCTTCTAAAACCAGTTAAAGGTTTTGATTTTAGTTACTGAAGAAATTATTATTTGTTTTCAAATTATAATGCATTTACTTAGGTTAGGTTAGGTTATTAAACATAGGCCGTATGCGAGTTCGAGTAAATTGATGGTAAATTAAGGAAAATAGTAAATTATATAGGTATATCGACGAATGTTGGTATTTACCAGAATTTAGAGTAGGGAAAATTAAATAAAAATTAGGTAAATTAGCTGTTACCATTGTAAAAATTTTATATGATGTTTTATAAATAAATTTGAAAACTTTTAACTAAAAATTGTAAATAAGTGCAATAAATGAATAAATAAATATTTACATAAGTGCAGTACAAAAAATCCCTTGGAAATTTCAATTTACTTTACCTCAATTTACTCGAACTCGCATACACCCATAATATTGCAAATAATTTCCCTAAGTACACAAAAACATATAGACGAATGTAGAACAAAAAAAAATTGAAAAAGACATAATTTCGTATCATAATAATACGGTCCTTGTTACAATAATACGGTCTTAAGTTTAAGCTTAGTTAAGTAAAATTGTTTATGATATTTTTTGTTGCTAAAGATAGCTTTGGCGAACACAAAAGAAGAAAGCAAATTGAATAAAGTTAGAGATTGAGAAGCAACTTCGCGGAGAACAGTTGTTTAAGCGGAGCTACGAGGAGAAGCAACAACTTTATTCCTTCCGAAAAAAGTGCAAAAATTGTTAAATAAATATTTAATAATAATTAACATTTAAATTTATTTGTCAAAAATTAAAGGTAAATATTGAAATTGTTTTATAATAACATAAATACAAAGCAATAAAGTTGTTATCAACAACAAAGCTATAAAAAACTTATTTTTGAAACTTTTCTGAATATTGGAAATAGTGAAATTTTTACTAAAAATAAAAACTATAAGACGTTTTGCTGTTATAAATAAAAAACTTACGATTTCGAATCCCAAGAAAAGCAATTTGCATCGGTTTAAACACAACAGTTTTTCCAAAAATAAAAGTAAGCAATTTTTCTTTTATAAGGAAATTAGTGAAAAACCAACAATATTTAAATTTTGAATTAAACAAACGATTAATAATAATTAACTAACAAAAACTAATAAAAAATGATTGGTTTTGTGAGTTTTATAATTTGTGCGACATCCAAAAAATGATTTAGAAGTAGCAGTTATTAGCACTAATAAAGTTTTTTTTTTCAAATAGTAATTATAACCAAAAATAATGTGTAATATATAGAACATATTATTTTTATTATAACAAACGTTATATTAAATATATATATCCAAAAAATTCACTTACCAGTTATACACGGTGAAGTTAGAAGATGGTGGTGATCTACATTTTATTAGAAGTGCTAACCACTCACGAAATACAAGGTAAGAGAAATGGAAACAAAAATCAGTTGCAACGGATCACAAGGGCAAATAACCTGGAAGTGAAGAAACAGTTTGGTGCATTAACTTTTTACAGACTTGCCAAATAGAAACAAATATGTACATATGTATATTATATATGTATTATATTATATACATAATAATAATACATAATAGATAATATATATATATATATATTATATTATAACTGCAAGCATTTTCATACAAAAATTGACAGCGGTATATGTTTACACTTACTGTTTATAATAATTAAATATATTTGTACGGATTTTAGTACAAATTTATTGTGTTAAGTTAGTGTAAACGTACTGTAATATAAATTTTTCTACTTTTTATAATATACCATAATATGTATACCACTTCGCTGGCCGTAAATGATTAATATAGAAAATTTAAAACAAGTATTATATTTAATATTATATTTATTTAATAGTTATTACCATATTAAAATCAAAATAGAAATAAGATATTATTCGATATACTGTAAATAACTATTTTAATGCAAAACTCAACATTATTTTAGTAAGTCAAAATAAAAATTGTGATTTATTAATTTACAATAATATATCTAATGCATGAATAAGTAGTTGTCGCTGGCTGCAGTAGCCGATCTTTGACTGTAGTTCTACATTTTTGACTGCAGTAGCCAGTAACAATTGCTTTATTGTGCGTTGGATAACACCAACATAATGCTAACACTCTTTATAAAGTTAAGATATAACATATCCCATTACTAAATTTTATGGTGATAGCTTCGAATTTTCCTTATTTAATTGTGATATAATTTTTATTGAAATTAATTTTAAATATGTAAATAATATAAGCAATGAATATATATTAATTTATTATATAACAAATTTTAAACATTTCTAATCCACCCACGCATTTGTCTTATAAATTCTTTCATGTTATCTGTTTTTAAATTCCAGCGGGTTACCACAATAACATCTAAACAAATAATTGCTTTGTATGTTCTGTAATATCGCTTGGATATATGAATACTAATAATAGTAAGGCTGATTGATAGAAAATCAAAAAATATTGATTCTTCATCGATTAGCTTCGTATGTTTGTCAACATAGGTATATAACATCTATGCTGTATTCGCAAGTGTCTTTTTCAAAACATAAACACTGTTGATTATTTAGTAATGGATATTAAAGAATATTTTTAAAATTTTTGTCGTTAATAATAATTCTTAAAAATTTATTAAATAATAATTCTTCCATTGACTGACTTTGATATAGACTATGAGAGTATTTTTCTGCTTTCATCAATCATTTTATGCATCTCATGAAATAAACGCAATTACTCGTTACACAAATAGAATAACTACGCTTGTTAAAATAACCTTAAGTTTAACATCAATAGAAAAGCCATCAGCTGTTCAAAATAATCAAACATATGTTTGCAAAATTGTGTTTTCTTACTTTGTTTATTATATGTTAATTGTTTGTTTTTATAAGTAATTTCTATTTATTTGCATTTGAAATAAAACAAAAGATAGTGAAAATAATGAATAGTGCATTTAAAGCTGAAGATATCACTTTAAACGCACACCAATGGACGTTTGAAGGAGATTGTAAGTTACTGGAATGGATGAAGCAAATAACGGAGGTACATAAAATGCATTAATTAATATAATAATAATCTATTCATTTATTATTGTAATTTAATTTAGAACTTAGAAAGTAGAACAAACAAAACTACGGAAGCCTTTGATAAACTTAATGTAGATGTTAAACGCGCCAATATTGCCTTAGATAATGCAGCGAATAGTCTCACAGCATTACAATACACTCAGTTTGTGGAAAGTCGCTGTCATGATGATGATGAAACTATCGCCAATCAAGCAGAAGTTCCTATTGATTTGGTAAAAGTATGTATTTAAGATGATCACATATGTGATCACATACCAAACAAAGTTTTTTTCTCCGTTCTGTAACTGCTTGAACTGCACTACAACGAAGACTCTTCTGTAACGAAATTTGGACTATTTTATAGTAAACTCCGTTGGGTTATGTCTTATGAACATACAAATAGACTTTTTCATATTAAATAACGGATCAGTCTAAGAATGCATTTGATTACAATTTACAATTTCTTGAATTTAAAAATTGCCTTGCTATTATTTTATCTATATAAAATAGATTTTTTGTAAATAACGGATCAGTCTAAGAATGCACTTGAATACAATTTACAATTTCTTGAATTTAAAAATTTCCTTGCTATTATTTTATCTACATAAAATAGATTTTTGTCATAGGATAATAATAATAATTTTTTAATTAAGTATCAAATTTATTTAAATACAACGTAATTTTTTAAGTATATTCAAAATACATTTATGTAGATTTATAGAATGCACTAGACAAGATAAAAAAATATTGGTACAATAGTTCCAATTCCTACCCCTCAACTTGATTACACTTTAAATGCATTTTTTTCAACTTTTAACTATAAAT